AATGTTCAATGTTTGCTTAATTAATTCAATTCTTATTTATTGAGGGCTTATTTCTATATTTACACAAAGAGTTTGGTTGGGACAGTCCTGGTTTGTGTCTGCTGCACTGAGCTAATTATTAAAAATAGCTGTGCTACTCTCCAAATTACCTTAGTCATTTGATCATCTTACTTGTAAAACAACCAACATAATTCACATCTAGATTGCATCTAGTTTCACATTTCAGTTTGTGCATAAATTCTACTCTTTATGATGAATAGCTTCAGTTGGAGTTTGCATTTTTTCACTATCTCTACTGCTCTATTTGATTGATTGAATGTATCATAGAAATATATTTTTTCTAATAGGAAATGAAATCTCCATTGTTTATTAGGACATATTTTATAGTGTCCTTAAATATATTTGTGAAAGTCATGAGTTTAAGACTTTAGTGATCTCATATTCCAGATGAAAAGGGGTAGAAATACAATTAGGCCTACTAAGAGATTCACCTATTAATGTGAGTGAATATGTTTCTTCTTTATTGAAAATTCTTCAAAATACTTATTCTAGTATTTAAGCATGAGTGTTGTGTAATTTAAATAACTGTTAAATGTTACTTAACTTTTTTTGTAACGCTTGCCTATTTGAATTGTAGTAGTTTTTTAAATTTGATTATAAACACTGATCAATTTATTTGAGCAGAGTCCACTCCCCAAAAAATATGAAAATGAGTGCTTATATATCCCTGGAAAGATAATACATCATCATCATCATCATTATTGTACCAGGGATCAAACTTGGGACCTTGTGCTTGCAAGTCAGGTGGCAGCACCACTGAGCTAAATCCCAGGCCCTACTTTTTAACTTTTAAGAAAAATATTATCCTCATGTTACAGAGTAAAAGCCCAAAGTAGTCAACAATATTCTTAAAAAAAGACTGCAAAAATTAAAACACCATACCAGACATAAAAAAATCATGAAACAGTAGTAAATTATATGGTTTTTGTTTTAAATTTTAATATTTTATTTAAAGTAATCTAAAAATTATCTTCCAACATATAAACAATAAAAAGCATTTATTATTGACATTTTAAATTTTTTGTATTATTTTACACTTACTAAAAAATCTGAATTTTTTTTCTTTTTGAGGGTCTCACTATGTAGTTCAGACTGGCCTTCAACTCAATATGTAGTTAAGGCTGTCCTCAGACTTTCAGTATCCTCCTGCCTCAGCCTCGTAAGTACTAGAGGCATGCACCATGATGCCTGCCCAAACATCTGAATTTAGATCAGCTCTGACTTTTAAGTGCTGAATAGCTAATTGAGGTTAGCACCTATCATAATAAACACCTTAGCTCTGTATACCTTATATTGTTTTAATTTATTACAGTAAGAGTATGCTTTCATCTGACTTGTATGATACATTTTTTCAATTAATTAAGTTTATTAGAACATTTTAGATATACATAAAATGATCACATTCATCATAGGGAATTTGTACCTGAACAAGATACATCTTGATTCTTATTGTTTCCCATTACCCTAGTGTGAATGAGGCCAAATGTGTAATAGATATTGTGAGATAAGAAAATGTCCAAATGGGTAGAGGAAGTAGGGAGGGGAGCAGAGGAAAGGAAGGAAAGAAAAGAAAAAAAAAATGTCAAAAGGGGGTTGAAGGGAGGTGACACAGACAAGATTCAATAATCAATGTTTGACTAATACGAAAACATTCAATATTTTAACTTAAATATGTTTAGCTTAGAGCAAATAAAATTACATAAATTTTGTGATAAAAATTTGCATTATTGAAAGTACCATAGGCTGATGAGAAAAAACTGGGTAATGCCAAAGAGAGGAGATATTTTAAACAGAAAGAAAATTAAAGAAAAATCTAAAGGGAATATTGCTCCATGAGTCACCTGATTTGGTCTGGAGTTTCATTTTCAGCTCCATTCTTAACTAAAATAATAAAATCCAAATAAATGTAAAGTTCCAAGAAACATATACCATAAAATACAATATATTTAATTGGTAGTATGATTTTTTAAAATGGTTAAAATTGAATACTATATTGAGCCACTAATTTCAAAATCTAATGTGTTCCTAAAATTCAGAATTTGGGAAGTAATACTTAAAAGCCAATTTTCTGGTTCTCTTTCATTTTAACATTTATTGAAACATTAAACCTGAGAATTTTAATTTTCCTCCATTGCCTTTATACATCTGTAATATCAGTTGAGTTTTGACATACAGTCAGTTTTCTATTTAAATCTCTTTTTTTTTCATACTTTAGGCAACAGGTAAAGAATCCATTTTCATTTATCCTTTTCTTACAATCCACTATTTACATATGAGAGGTAATGAGAATCTAGTTAGTTTATTAAATAGTAAACATGATTTTTAAATATTCAAGTAAATATTCAAATGATTTTCAAAATAAAAATTTCAAAGGTTATATTTGTGCAGAGAAATTTAAAAAACATCAGGAGGGGCCGGGGATTTGGCTCAGCGGTTCGGTGGCCTGTCTTGCAAGTGCAAGGACCCAAGTTCAATCCTGGTATCAAAAAAAAAAAAAAATCAGGAGACTGATAAAATACTTGTCAAATTATATTTCCAAGTTGTTTTACTGAAGCTGAATTAGTAAAGAATTACAATATTATTAGAACATTGACTCCTAAAACCACAGAACCAGTCTGCAAATGGCACAGACACAGAAAAGCATCTGAGGGAAGGTCAGTCAGCACACTGACACTGCAGATAAGGGTATACCTAGTGATTGAAGAGCAGAAACAACATAGGAACAAAACAAAATGAAACAAAACAAAACAAAAAAATAAACAAAAACAAACAAAATGCCAGCCTCTGGAGTCCACTGCAAATATTCTTTTTATTGTTTATTTCTTTTCCAGGACAGTCCTTCACCAAAGTGTTTCTGTTCAAATGGAGAAGGATAAGGTGTGCACTTAACCAATAATGGCAGACTACAAAAAGTTGATATTTTTAAAAATCACTTATAAGTTCTAGACAAACAATTCTGAAAAATGTTCTTCTATTTTAGTCTGCTTTTCTAACCTTTGCTTAATTTGGCTGAAAAATAGATTTCTATTTCTTTAAAGGTCAAAAATCAATCTTAGTTTTATAAAACAATCAAATCATAAAATCATTTGCATCAGTTGCGTTCTGACTCCTGTATTCATGTCAATAGTTTATTAGTTGGAATGAATAATATTTTTCAGTTTAACCTTTCTCAAGATATTCACACTGATAATGTTTCCTAGCAGCTTTACAGTCAGGTAAATTTAGGTAAACTCCACTTTGACCTAGGATATATAAGATTTATTGAAAAAAAAAATCCTAAAGAAAACATTAAAACACAGTCAAAAGCTTTAATTGTTAGTTCCAATAAGGATACTTTTATTTATTATTTATATTGAAACCCATTATAAAAAATATAATTGGAATGCAATAGGAAGATACTTTTTTTATAAATTCCTCAATTCAGTGAAAAAACACAGTTACTGGAGTTTAATATTTCACTTTTCATTAGGTAAAATGTTCAGAGAGAACCAAGTATGGCCATAGTCAAGTTTTATTGAGTTTCTAATAAATTCTGTACAACACTGAGGTTACATATGAAGCTCTTTAAGTGGATTTTCAAATAAGTAAACAGCACTTTGGGGAAGGGTAATAGAAGCTCATTAAAAACAAGTGAAAGTTTCTACAGAGACAATGTTGCTCTCTCTCTCTCTCTCTCTCTCTCTCTCCCCCTTCCTCCCTCCCCTCTTTGTCTTGAAGGCAAGATCAATAACTAATTGTAACATTTTAACTCATCTTTGTCTAAAAATGTAGTGTTACTTTATATACATACAATATAACCATTGTTTTACTGTAACCCAAGAAAGCTCTCTGGTTTAATGAAGAAACAATAGGTCCCCAAAGGAAGATGAAGAGGATTTCAGTGAATCTTCTCCATCAACTAAGAATTTTCTCAGGTTGTAAAGATTATAACTTGCACTGGTCAGCTAAGCCTAATGCAGCTTTGAATTTGGTAAGGAAAGAAATTAAATCCAAGAATTTATTGCAACAACTCACAACATCAAATTGTTTCTATTTTCTTATTCCCAGAAGACTTTCCATAGAATTAACCTGTCAGAAAGCAAGAAGGAAATAACCCTGATTTATTACTGAAAGCAAAGTGAAACTTAAGCTGTAGGGATATTATACAAAGGGTCCTAAAGGGAAAGATTACATTGTGTTTAAGTTGACAAAAGCATATAGGTAAGTCATTAACTAAAAATCTTGTGTAGACAGGTATTTAATTTGGCCTTTTAGCCAACTCATCCCTAAAGATTATAAAATCTTATTGTAACTTAATTTTAAACTGTTAATTCAAATGATGCATGAGAACTAACTTACTTGTAGACTCCAGATAAGGAATTCCTAAGAGCATAAGGATTTCACAGAACCAAAGTCATTTACAAAGGATTCATAAAAGAAAAACCCAAAACCAAATTTTATGGGAGGACTAGTAGAAAAGAACATTCATTTTATTTCATTAAAATTTTTAATCCAAATATCAGACCTGCTCTCAATTGATAAATTCTCAAAATCTAATCATTTTCTTAATGCTGTTGAAAAATATTATTCAGTTTCAAGAATTTTTAAAAAATTCAAATCTCTCTACCTCAAAGAAATGAAAAGATACTGCTCAAATATTATTTCAATCTATAAAGATTAAGGAAAAGAATCAGTTCAAGAACATAGCTTTTTAAAATAGAGTCTCCTTGCTGAACTTCAATGTGAGGTTAATGAATAAAATCAACTTTCAGATTATCTATTTTATATAGTTTCATTGAAAATATTTTAAAAACCTGCAGAAATTGTAACTGATTGGTTTTAAAATTTTTCATTTTTATAGGTAATCTTATACTTTTTCTGTACATCACACCACAGACACTGTGTATCAGCAAAGCACGAAGGATTAATATTTTCAGATAGCAAGTGTACCTTTTACATACCTCAGCAGCAAACTGCTGCAGTCCACCGATATTAATTGGTCCCTCTTCAGTGGCATATAAATTACATCCTCCTACACAAAGATCAGAAGTTGGACACACCATTCCACAAGTAAGACCAAGTGGGTTGTCAGAAAAAATCTTCTTAGCAGCTCCATAATAGTTCTACAAGAAGTAAGATTTTATTACATAACAATTACCTTTAATTTAATATCAAATAATGACAAATATATTACTTTTTAGATAGCTAGATTAAAGAATAAGATATCAAGACATATATATGATATATATTATGATAAATATATGTTAAATTAGTATTTACCATCAACAATAGCAGAGTAGGTGACAGGTAGAAGTATTTACTGTATATGGATAAAAGAATAATTTTTTAAAAAATCAAAATTTTAAAATATTTTTATTAAACCTTTTAATTTATGAAGCATCTTAATATATTCTGCCTTAAATTATTGTTTTCAATTTTAAAAAGTATCCTAAGTAGCACTGTTTGATCAACCGATCATTGAAACTACCCTTTAAAAGAACACCATCAAGAAAGATCATATTCAGGTAATCCTCCACATACCTAAATTAGAAGCAGTTAAAAGTTTTCTTTCCATTCATCTGGTTTGTCTCAGAATATCAAGTTTTATGATACTCTGTGCTGATTAACATCCTTTACTAGCACCACATTCACCAAACATAGACAAGAAAGACATTTTACAGGGACTCCTAGACCAGATCTCAGCAAGTTTATCTTTCCTCACTCTTTTCCCTACATCTGATTACTGTATTATAAAATAGCTTAGATGACCTCTAATTTTAACAGTTATTTTTGAATCATTTTTAAAAACATTCTGAACAACTATATATTTTTACTGAATAAATAATAAAAAGTAAGCTCAGTATTGGGAATATTTTTTCACAGAAATCACAAACAAGAACTGGGCCTTAATAGTGCTACCAAGATCTGCCCAGGATATCAAAAGAAAAAAAAAGTTAGAAAAATTGTAACAGTCAAGAAGACAGACAACAAATAAATACAATTAAATTATCATAGATGGAATTCTTCCATGGACAAGGGACATTACATAAAAATTTAAAGGTTAATAGAGAAAATTACATACAAGTATAAATATAAATTATCATTAGATTTTTTTACTAAGTCTAAAACTGCTAAAAAAAGTACAATTCAAGAAAAATGTGGGTTTAATATGCTTAACCGTATTAAACTAAGGCACTTATTTTTCCTCTGGTTTTTAAGATGCTATTTAAGGTTTCTGAGAATATATATACACTGTTTCTAGGAAGAAGCAAATGAAGAGCCTTAAATGTAAGTATAAATATTTGTTAACTATAGATAAGTCAATAACAACAACAACAATAATAATAGCAACAACAATCACCAAACTGGAGATATACTTAAGTGATTGAACATTTGCCTAACTTATGTGAGGCTCTGCGTTAAATCACCAGCAGTACAAAAATAATAGCAGTAATAAATCAAGAATGATATTTACTACTTATCTACATTTAAAGTAATCGCAGCCCTTTAAAATCCTTTATTGCATCTGTTTATCAATAATCTTTCATTATATAAGATATCCAGGACAATACAAAATTTCTGAACACCAAAATAAACAGAAACAAATGCTTGATAAACAAATCTATTTTAAAATAATCAGACTGTGACTCTTGGATGAAATAAAATATTTTAAAATAGAAATTAATACATGCTTTTAACAGCACATGTGTTGCTTAGCAATACAGTTATTGTTTAATGTGTCCCCTTAGCAACCAATAGTTTTGTCTTCCTTCCTAAATGCATAGTAGCAATGTGGTATGGAATCCAATTCTTAAAAGAAAATATTTGGCCAAGGTTCAAACAACAAATAAATGATACTTCCATGATTCATATAAAAGCATACTGTTCATGATGCAATATATAATAAAATCTAGTTACAGTAAGTATTATCACTTAGGTACAATCCATATATTGATGTAAACACATGCATGAATACACATGTGAACATACACACACACAGCTCTTTTCAACATAAACTACAACATTTATAATTAGCCTATTGCATTCATTTTGTATTCCACTAAATGAATTTTATTGCAAAATTCCTTAAATTGTAGTTTTCATCACTAAATTTTCAAGACATTAAGCTATATTGTAGTTCCTCAGATATGACTTCTGAAACAGAATGAAGAGAAAAAGGTGGTAGTTAAGTTGAATTTCATCAAAATCATAAGCTTCTGTGCTTTAAGGAGTACTATCAATACAGTGACAAAGAACTCACAGAACAGAATAAGACATCTGCACATCTTGTATATATGGTAAGAGATTTGATTCTAGAATATATTAGTATTCACAGCTCAACAATAAAGACAATCTAATTAAAATGGGAAAATAATAAAAAATATTTCTCTTTAAAATATACACATTTCCAATAAGAATGATAAAGGTGGTCTTGGTCATTAGTCATCAGAGAAATGCAAATCAAAACTACAATGAGATAGTACTTACACATTTGGATGGAAAGAGTTAAAAAGACAAATAATAAACAGTTTGGCCATGGTGCAGGGAAATGGGACCTTCATACATTGTTCATATGAAAGGAAAACAGGGGAGCTGCTTTGAAAAATAGTTTAACAATCCCTTACAAGATTAAAAATAAAATTACCATATGACTCAACAATTCCATTCTTTAGTGTACACCCAAGAGTAATGAAAACATATGTTCATGCAAAACCTAATATTCGTACAAGAATTATTCATAACAGTTAAAACATGGAAGTTACCCAATTGCAATCAACTTATAAATGGCTAAATGATGTATGTACCCATACAAAAAAGACTATATTTTTTAAATAGAAAGGAATGAAGTAACAATATATGCTTTAATATGGATAAACCTTGAAAAGACTATGCTAAATCAAAGAAGCCACTCACAGTAGACCACATGCAATTTCACTTATGTAAACTGTCCATCTTAGGCAAAACTATAGATACAGAGGCAGATGAGTGGTTTCTCAGGCTGGCAGTCTGACATAACATAAAGAATGGCTGTTAACAGTATAGAATCTCTTTCTGGAGTGATAAAAATGTTCTCAAATTAGCTATGGTGATGGCTGCAACTCTAAATATGGTGATGGCCGCAACTCTAAACATGCTAGACATCTCTGAATTATCAAACACATTTACATGAGAAAACATAAGGCATGTGAATTATATCTTAACAAAAGTTTTACTTTCAAAACTATAATTCAGGTATAGGGAATTATTTAGGCAGTTTAGCAAAATAATATGAGTAAAATTATTAGATAGAAAACTGGACAATGTTTTAGGGGATAAGGAAGCAGAATTTTGAAGACATTTTTCTTTTGAACAACAACAAAAAAATGCATCTGTGCCTGACACAAATCTACAGCTGAACACGTAAATTCATTCCAAACTTTTAATTAATATTACATAGCAAAATAAAGCAATTGTTCTTTTTTCCTCGAAAGCTAAAAAATTCATCAGTATCCTTTATAGTCAAACCTCTGATCCTCTCACTACCTATAATTGAGCAGTTAATTGCTGCTATTGATAATCTCTAAGTCAGTGGTCACTACTCTTTCCTGCTCTTGCCCGGCATTTTAGGAACATTTGATATCACCAATTAATAAGTATGTAATGATTAACTCATGACTAAAAAATCCTACTGTGTAATTAAAAGGGTACTTCTAACAAAAAAGAAACAGAAAGAAAAGAGAAAGAATGTGATCCAATTAATAACCTAAGGATTTTTGCAAAAGAACAATGATTGTTTCAGGAGCCTCAGTATGAGTTTCAAGATTGTGCTTAAAAATAATGCAGTAAGAAATTAGAGGGCCAGGGATTAGCTCAGTGGTGCTGCCACCTGCCTCACAAGCACAAGGTCCAGAGTTCCTTCCAAAAAAGAAAAAAAGAAATTAGATATTTGTTTGAGTAAATTCAAAGAAATTTCAAAATTAAACTTGTGGCTCATGATTTGGTATAGATGTCAAAAAACTGGAACCTAAGCTACCAATAGATAGTACTGGCCACCAAATGGCCTAATAATTCTACTTTTCCATGACTCCCTGTGTAACCCTTTCACCAAAACAAAATTTGGAGGAAGATCTTAATATTTTTAAAAGTTAGTAATGATTTATTGAGTGCCTTTCTAAGTCAAAAGTATGCTGTCTGTTAAAAAAAAAAAGCAAATACTTGCTCTTTGGCACCATGATGTATTAGTGTCACAGTCATTCAATTTAAGGTGTAAATGGGTGGGAGTCAAAATAACTTCAAGTGTGACAAAGATAAAATATGAGGGAGAATCATATGAGCAAATACTCAAGAAAACTTAGAGTACATATTGATGTAATTACTTGATTTTGCTACCATAGTTTATTGTTTAGGAAAAGATTAGAATATATATTTGAACTGTACTATGACCACCTTGATGACTAGAACTAGGAGTTTAGTGTATGACTGAAGTTTTTCAATAGAAAATTTCCAGTATTAAGGGATTAGCTAGCAAGATTACTGAATTGATGACGTGAAATTGTTAGAAAGGTGGTATAAAGAAAGAGTCTGTGAGGGAAATTATACAGTGGCACTGAGAAAAGGAAAGCATCAGCCTGTACTAGAGTGAATAGAAGAATGGTTTTGAAATGGACTGAGACAACATGAACAATGTCTCAGAAGTCATCTTGGCAATCCATTTCTCTTGGGTAACCTTGCAGATATGGTAGAGAATTCCACTGTTTAGGAATCTGGGTACTCAGAGCTGAGACAGTCAGAAAGCTCTTAGAAAAGGAAAGCATTATCATTTCTTCCCGTTAAGGTCAACATCAATTCTTTCCCCATTAGCAAATTTAAATTAAGAAGGATACTCTACAGACACCCCAGTAGTCTCCTTCTAGAAAATACACAGAACTTCAACTCAGGTTTTTCATGATATTGAATCAGTTACAAGCATTTTAGTGTTCCTTTGTGTGAAGAAAATGAAAATGTAAGGGCTACACTAAAAAGGATACAAGATAAATATCTGAAATTTTGTGCACAAAGCTATCTTATGTAAAAGACAAGGGAACTTTCATAGCTCATTTTTTTAAGATCTAAAGAGAAAAATTAGTTTTAAATTATTTTAAAT